GATAATGCCGAGGCAGCATGCTCTGAAGCTACGTGGCATTCTGAAATGCTACTCCTGCCTGGCCCTCTTTTCCCTTGCTTTGGTTCTAGTCTTTTCCGCCTTGAGACATACACAGAGGAGGAAAATCTTAGGCTAAGGACATGTACTTCTATTACAGAGTGGTCGGCACCAGTGCCCTGACTTGGGGTGAGCTGGAGACCACCCTCTACACTGCCTTGTGAGGGAGGGCCTGGAGGCAGCTGCACCTGGGCGGGGCTGTCCTGCGGAAGGCCTGGCTGGTGGGCAAGGTTGAGTGAGGCTCAGCCCCCAAGAGGTCCAATGTCCAGTCAAGGATGTGGCGATGATGAAGATGAAAGGAACATCACTACTCAAGGAAATGAGGCCGCCCGTGGCCTGGCGGCTTAAGGAGCTGGATCTCACATGGCCAACCACATGGTTTGAGTCCCGGACCTGGCGGCTTGAAACTCACACCCGGTACGTGTGTGTGTGTGTCCAAAATCCTGAGAGAAAATGGAGGAGAAGGGATTGCAGTGTGGCTATCCCCCCTGAGGGGTGATTTCTTGCTGTCTGTCTCTCCATCTCTATCTCTCCAATGAGCTCATATACCCTGTAGCAAAAATCTCTCTGAAAAACAAAACAAAACACACCGTGTGTGTGTGTGTGTGTGTATGTGCGTGTGTGTGCCCAAATTCCCAAAATTGAGAGATAAACAGAGGAGAAGGGACTGCACATCACCATGCCACCATGGGAGTGACTTGTTTTTCCTCCCTGGCAAGTGCATGAGCCCTCTGACAATTTTTTTTTTTTTTAAGAGACCTCTGCCACATGACATGTGCAGTCCCTGCTCTCTGTCGATTTTCCTAACTGAACCCTGAGGACAACTGACAAGAGGGAAAGAAAATCTCCCTGCAAAATTCAAGTGGCTGCTGTGGATGCCCATTCAGGTCTTAAGACTTGAAATGCCAGTGAGGTCAGGCTCTTAAGGTCCTGAGGAAGCTTGAGCTAGAAGGAGTGAAGAGCTAACCCTCTGCAGAGCTGACTCGACCTCACCACCGCACGGAGCAGAGGCGTGGGCGCCTAAGAAATGCTCTTTGGGGTTAGAGAGCTCTCCCACACTGACACCTGTAGGGCTTATTATCTATAGAATCAAATAGATCCGCAGAGACACCCCGGGCAGGCAGCCTCCGGGGTCCCAGGCCACGTGAGGTCTGTCTGCAGAGACTCTCTGCTGTCCTGCCCCGCCAGGCTGCTTCCTCCCTCTTGAAGTGCGATTTTACAGGTTCAGGTGGTCAACTCTTCAGACCCCCTTGAGGGCTGGCACACGGGCAAGGATGCGGGCTGCCTGCCGTGAAGCTAAGACCCCGTGCTGGAGACGAAGGGGAAGATTTCCAGGCCGCAGACACCGTCAGCCCCAGGCTCGATTTGCCCATCTCAGATTGTCCAAGATAATCAGCCTGAGCTCCGTCTCGAACACTGGCTCAGAAACTGCTGAAGGACGAGGCTGCGGGGCCACCTGGCAAGGACATGGCTCTTCTTCCCAGCCAAAGCCTGGAGGAATGGGCGCGAGAATTCTGTGAACTCCATGAGCACGATGGCCTCCGTGAAGACCTAGACCTACCTGAGTTCCTGACCAGAGCTGTCCCAAGGCGAAGGTGACGTAACAAGACTGACAGCGCGGACAGAGCTCCTGGGGTGGGGGCAACGGTGGGGAGGAAGGGGCGTGACCTACCAAAAATACCAGAGCCTCTGTATGGAGAGGGCCCTCACGCAGCACCTGGAGCCACAGCAGTCCTCGTAGGAGCGGCATCTGCGGAGAGAGAGGGGCACAGCTGGTCACCACGCAGCCACGTGGCCAGGCCTGGCTCCACTGCGAATCGTGAGCTTTCTGGTGGCCCACAGGGATAGTGCCACCACAGACATACCGTGTAACTCAAAGCACTGTGTTTCCCATCACAATGCATTCCTTCTGCAGAGGGTCACAGCCAATGAGGGCGTGACACCCGCCAGCTCTGCAGCTACCGGGAAGCTCTGGACAGCCCAGCACTGATGGGGCATGGATCCCGACTGGGACTCCAGTCTCCGGCGATTGCGACATGACAGAAATCCCCCACTGAGTCCACCGAGGTCAAAGGCAGAGGTTGGAGGCAGACGCACTGAGGGTGAGTGAGTGAAGTGGAGTCCTAGTTGTGCCACTTAGTTGCTGCAAGCTTCTGGTAGGTCATTTCCACCTCTGAGCCTCCGTTTCATTAGCAAAACGGGGGACAGACGGGGGCCCAGAGCAGTGCTGACTTATGGTGTAAGAACATCACGTAAGTGCCACCAAGGATCACTGCTCCTGCAACCCCTCCTCCATATTCCCCAGCGTGCCTGAGCCTCAGGGTCTTGGCAGGGTGCAGACATACTTAGGAACCGTTCTGTGCCCAGAAGGGCTGCCCGAGAAGGGCCATCACCAAGGAAGGGACAAGCATTGGCCTCGAGGAGTCATTCAGCTCCTTCAGTATTTCCATCCTGTCTCAACCCCATGGATTATTTTAGAGGGGAACGTGCTATGAAAACCCCAAGCCCTTTGTTCTGTGCCCTGGTATTTACAGGAAAGCGCTTGCAGTGCCAATGTGGGTCCTCGTGGCTGTGGATGGGACAGGGTGGCATTACTGTTTCTCAGTAATATTAAACGAGCACACAACTGTGATCCAGATTCCTGCCAATTCTGTTTCTTTTTTTTAAAAAAAAAAAAAAAGAAAAGAAAAAGTAGCTTCGAGAAATACACAATTCAGTTCAAGCTCCTGGGGACTGAACTTAGAGATTATTTCAGTACAAATACTCTTGTGTAGAACAATGTATAGATAATGGTTTCCTAAAATATTAGTTAAGATGCAAAGTGGGGTGAGTGGGGCGACAACCGTGACCGACATCTTGCAGATCCGCACTGTGGAGCTGCTTCTCCATGGCTGTTCACCCTCAGTCACCGAGGCTCCTGGGCACAGTTCTGCCTTTGTAAACACCCAGCACCCTAATGCAGCGAAATCCTCCACTACATCAAGGACAAACTGAGCTGAGAGACACCCCACAACACCCCAACACACACACACACACACACACACACACACACACTATCGCACAGGTGGTGTGGAGTCTGCACACCAGTCCTTCCATGGCCCACAGACTTCAGAGCCATGAAAACGAGTGTGTAAGGTGCTTCTGATTTTCACGCTCTGGGCACCTGAGACACAGCAGCGAGTAGCTACCAGGAGCCTGCACTGCGCTGAGTCTGTTGTGCCCCCAGCCAGGACTCCCAGTCGTCACCAACACAGCAGGTCAGAGTTGAGAGCCCCGGTGTTAGCGAGGCTGGGTTTTTATTTGTCTGTTGGGGGGGCAGGTTGAGGGGTGCTGAGGAATGCACTCAGGCGGCTATGCATTGGCTGGAGGTTTCAAGAAGCATAGTTGTCTTTTACTGATTGGCAAGAAAGTTACTTCAGGTCTCTGGTATTTCCCTTGTTTTTGCTCATTGGCGGGCCCCAGTGGGGAGATGGTCTTATGAAATGGTGCTGATTCTCAACAAGGTGGGTTTAACAAAATGGAGTTGCCCCATAAAAAAATGGAGTCACTCTGGTCCTTCAAGTCCTGGAGCAGAAGCAACGGAAACCCCTGAGGGGAACCCCTGCTGTGAAAGAGCTGTCTTTCTGGAAGACAGAAAAAAAGCAATACTCAAGAAGAAGAATATGGGGAACCAGCAGTTAGCATAATGGCTATGTCGCTGGATCCCCATGTAGTCGACCGCGGTTCGCGTCCCGGACCCAGTGGCTTAAAACTCACGCCAGGCGCGTGTACGTGCGTGCCCAAGATCCCGAGAGGAGAATGAAGGAGAGCGGATTGCGGCGTGACCATCCTCCCTGGGCGGTGATTTCTCGCTTTCTGTCTCTCTGTCTCTGTCTGTCTGGCGAGCGCACGCGCCCTATAGAGAAAAGCTCTCCAAATAAATAAATAAATAAAAGAAGAATATGGATGTTAGATGGTAACGGGTCAGTCTGTGGTGAAATCTGAAGCGGGGCCCATAGGTTGAGAGAGTGGGCGAGGAGGTGGTGGGTAATAGACTTTTAAACAGGCGTTCAGGAATGACTCACAGTGGAGACCACACAGAAACCCAGACTGGCAAGGATCTGAGCTGGCACAGAGGGCCTCAGTGTCCGTGGTGGGAGCACTGTACCTCCATTCTTAACTCCACATGCTCCACACTGCATGCTGAGAAAGAATTCTTTTCTTTTTTTAAAAAATAATTATTTATTTTATTTCATTTATTCATTTATCTATTTATCTATTTATTTATTTATTTTAATTTGACCAGAGAGAGACAGAGGTTGAGAGTAAGAAAGAGAGGAAATGAGAAAACAAGCCACCAGATTCAGGACTCGAACCCTGGTCGGCCATGTGGGAGTGTCCAGAGGCTTACCCACCACGCCACCTGATGGTCCCAAGAAGTAGTTCTTAAGCACAGGGTGGGAAAGAGGAGGAGATGTCCAGTGTAAGAGCCTCTGAACTGGGGCCAGGGCCCCACACTGCACAAATAGCACTGTCAGCAATTCTTCGGTGCCCACCTCCCCAAAGATCTCACGTCCTTGTAACAGTAAGTGTAGGATGGGGGGGGGCATTCAAGGGAGATAAATTATTTCTAGCTTCTAGGGTCAGTCGAGTTCAGACAATTAGCTGTAAACTAAAAGAGATGGGATGGTTTCTGGGGCCAGCAGGTGGAGTGGCGGTTAAGGTGCTGCAGTCCTACATGGCCAAATGCAGTTTGAGTCCCAGACCCGGTGGCTTGAGAATCCCATCGGGTATGTGTGCACACATGCTCAAAATCTTGAGAGGAGAATGAAGGAGAAGGGATTGTGCTCATTCCTCCTGGGGGTAATTTCTCACTTTCTCTCTCTCTGGCAAGTGCACACGCCTTACAGTAGAAACCTAAAAAAAAAAAAAAAAGAAAAAAGGTGGACTGTTTCCTATGATGACTTTGCAAAGACAAGAGTGCTCAGCAGTTAGGTTAGGTTCATGGTGAGTGTGAGGGTGTGGTAGGCGGGAAACAAAGACGCCCCTAAGAGTCTAGCCCTCTAGTGTACACACTCTGAGTGATCCCTACCCTTCTGTGTGGAGAGTAGGACCAGACAGTCACTCCCATGATTAAGAAATATTAAGTATGTTGGCGTGGTATATAAGATTCTGCTGTTACACACTGGAGATTCTCCTACTGGCTTAAAAAAAAAAAGTATTATTGATTCTTATTTTTGTAAGTCTTAGCTGGCTCAATGAAGGGCACATGCATGCACACCTGTCATGCCCAGGGAGGTCAGGACACGAGCAGGCCCTGCCCACGTGGGTCCAGCTGCACTGCCACGGCACTGTCACCGGCTCCTCTGCTGCTGGCTGTGACGCAGTAGCTGCCATGCTATGGGAGGCCACACAGCTGGGGCCGAGCAAGGTCTCCAGCTGCTGACAGCAGTCCCAGATGGGGAGCCCCAGTTCCCACCATGAGAAGCCAGGCTGCCAACGATCTGAACGGACGCAGAGGAGGAATGCAAGCACCAAGGAGCACCCGACCAGCCAAGCCCTGGATGTCAGCCTTGTGTGACCCTGAACAGAGAACCCATCTGTGCTCTGACCTACCGAAACCGGGAGACAATAAATGTGTGTTGCTTGAGCCGCTAAGTTGGTAGCAATTTATTCTACAGCAACACAGTGAATAGGAACAACCGTGACAGGTTCTGAGCACCTCCTCAGCCAGGACACTGTCTGCTGAAAGAACAAGGAACTGGGCCTGCATTTCAGGAAAGCATTCTGCGGACGTCGCCTCTGGTGACACCAGGGCTCTCATCGCCCACGTCCACTTTCTCTATTGCCACTTGATTTTCCTGTTCTTCGATCCTGCTTTCATAAACTGCTGTGGGAGCTTGGAAGACCATGGTAACAGAGAAGAAGTGAAGAAAGACAGCAATCCTTAGACAGATGGCAGAGGTCGCCAAGACAGCCTCCGGGTAGGAATTTAACAATGAGGAGATGCTTTCTCCCTCTCTGGTGAGCACACACGACTTCTGTCAGTTAAACAAATTCTGGGATATTGTGTGTGTGTGTGTAAATATGTACCTTTAGGTACATATGCATGTGTCATTTTCATACCTGCACGCATATGTGTGTGTGTGTGTATTTTAAAATATACACACATTCATTCTCATAAATTTCAAGGGTAGGAACAGATAACAATTAGGTCAGGAATGTTCAATATTAATAAAGTCACAAAATCTTTCTATTAATAAAAACAGCCAAAGGTTGATCTGTAAGCTGTCTCCTGTGGTGGTACACACTGAACGTCCACATGCCTCCCCGGCATACGCTGAAATGCTGATCCCCACAGGATCCCCCCATGGGACAGGTTAGGAGACGGACTTAATAGAGTTCCTAATTCAAATTCCTCTTCATTGCCAAGATGCAATGTCTAAGTGCTCTAGCTCGCTTTCCAGAATTCAATCTGAAACACCAGCAGCAAACACACACACACACACACACACACACACACACACACACATCTTTTCAGCTCCCTTCTTCAGATGAAGACCTATGCTCTCTAAGCATCCCCATGGCCATCTGCAGGCCTGGCCCAGCTCCCAGTGTGGGTGCTGGCAGACGCTGGCTACTCGAAGGCGCTCACCATTACCCATGGGTGACACTGTTACCCCTCTCCCCTCTGTTGCTTTTGTCAATGAAGCTGTGGTAAACTGGGGCCCTTCACACTTACTGACGTTCTAAATAGCTGCAATTATAAAA